CACTGAAAAAAAAACTCCGGCCGTGGGAGCCGCAATTACGGGCAGTATAGACATACCGTCCGTTCCGGGCTCAAAGGCCGAAAATTCCGGCTGCTGGAGCCATAGCTTCGGCCTCTGAACCCGGATCGCAATCGAAGCTACGTCTCCAGCAGCCGGAATTTTCGGCCTTTAAGCCCGGAACGGACGGTATGTCTGTCTATTTAGCCCGTAATGGGCCTGTTGCATGCAAGAGATACAGCCGTGCGAATAGACTTTTCAGAGGTTAAATGACACGAAAATTACGATGGTCACATTAAAAAAGTCTGAAATACAATCCTTACTGCGCAATTTGCGTTGTTAGGAACGCGCTTTTTCAAATTTCCCGCGTCTGGGGGCAGTTTTCTAACGGAAACAATTAACGGCAACTCGCGGCTATTTCCGGTCAACTAAAACTGACAACATAACCTAAAAATCGGAGCTCGTGATATCGTGAAAGGAAATGTAGGAGGATTGCGTTGGATATTTAAAAGTTGATCGATTTGGTTAGCGCATAAAGCGTATATGGACCACTATCAGAGATAACGTCGGGTTTGTAAACAAACTGAAGGAAAAAATAACAACAACAACAACAACAACAACAACAACGACTCGGCATCTTCCGGAAATCACCGAGCCCGCCGTTAGCTCGTTTCCGGTGATTAGAAAACTGCCCCCAGACGCGGGAAATTTGAAAAAGCGCGTTCCTAACAACGCAAATTGCGCAGTAAGGAGTGTATTTCAGACTTTTTTAATGTGACTATCGTAATTTTCGTCCCATTTAACATTTAAAAAGTCCATTCGCGCGGCTGTATCTCTTGCATGCAACAGGCCCATTGCGGCTCCCACGGCCGGAGTTTTTTTCAGTGCAAGAAAAAGGACTCTTGATTCAATCAGATTTAAGCTTAAATCAAAAGGAAATCGGCTCAAATTAAGAGGCTTGGTTGTTGATTTAAGCTTAAATCTGATTGAATCAAGAGTATTTTTTCTTGTCGATGTTTTTAAGAGTCTGGACTCTAGATCCAATGTGTTTTTTTTTTCCAGTGTATATGGGAGAGAAGTTCCATATATGGTGAACCATAACAGGGACTTTCTTCCCCTCCTCCCGGGCATCCCTTCCAATCGACTGTCAGTCGGCGACGAAAAGATCCGGCATGGACAGGAGACAGCGCGTGAATGATGTAAGCCGAGCGTTGTGGGTCGTGGCGCGGAAGAGCGCTGCGACGCATTACACGGAGAACAGGAGCAAACAAAACAGGCGAACGCGATTCCGCGAGCGCAAGTCGTCGTCCCTCTGACATAACGGCGTATCTCAATCTGCACATGAGCCCCGGAAAGCATAGAGTTATGGACTAAGCCATGGGAGGTGCTCGTGATGTGGTGGCCCTAAGAAGGGCCGTTTTAGAGTGTGAGCCGGCCGGCTGCATGACGTCCGCTGCGTGCTGAGTGGTGACGTGACGTGAGTCCCGTTTGACGTACGGGTGCGGACTGACGGGTGTGATGAGCTCGCGCCTAGATATAGCCGTGGCAGCGTCGAGCTGCAGCCAATGAGCTGCGCTGGTTGGCGGAGTGGTGGCTAGCCGCCACAGAGTTATATACAGAACAGGGCTCACGTTAACATTGATGTACGCCCTCTCGCCAAAGGAGCGCAAACGCGGGCGGGGGCGGGGGCATGGCGCGGCGGTCATTGGGTTAAGAGCAATCCCTGTTCTCGCTCGCCGAGCTCAAGTCGTTACGCCAACCATCCCTCCGCGTTGTCGGGTCGGTTTCTTACCCTTTTTTATTCGGGCTCAGGGGTGGAAAAGGGGATGGGTAGGGGCCGCTCCTACTATAGAGAAAAAGAAGGAGGTTTTTGCATCTTTAGGACCGTTTCCCGTGATGTATATACTGCCATACTGAGGAAGAACGCCGTATGAACATTCGAGAGTTGCGAAATCCTCCTTAATAAAACATGTGTTTTTGACGTCATTTAAGCATATTTTTCCTCGGAATTTTTAGATATTCTAGAGTGAACTGCGTTCAAGATTGTCTAAAAGTTTTGGGGGAAAATATTTACACCAGATACTCGGTTCGTATGACCGAAGTTTTTTTCTCTTTGAGAGGTGCACCTCTCAGATCGTCTAGTGTATTGGCGGCAAAATCGGGACAAGTTTGAAATTCAAATGAAGAGCGGGAGCGGAATAAAGTTGCGAGAACAAAGTATTCTAGGTGGATTATTGCTCAAATTCTGCACTGAATGCACTGTCTTTTTGCACGCATTTGGTCTCCTGCAAAGTATATTATAGACTCAGATGAAACATCGGTTTGCCGGCACTGAGATACACGTCGGCTACTAGTTGGAGGCACTTAAATAAAAAAGAACTGTCTACTCCATGACCTGGGCCCTGAGACTCATGAGAATACATGCATGACAGGGTCCTCGTCAGAATGGAGATGGTTCCTCCGAAGAAAAACTTACAGTTGCGGTAAAACGGCGACTTTTCTTTTGTCTTTCGCTACTTCGTGCGATTTGTTTTTAACTCGAAGAGCAATGGCGCGGAAATATTCGTCTGGAGGGAGCATTTTGTTTGAAACCCTCCGGTCATTACTTAGCTCCGCAGGACAGGGTAACTGCTTCGTTAGACCTGGTGACAGCTGCTATGCGAGTCACTGAATCGAGGATAAAAATAAATGGCCGTTCCATTTATCAAAAAAACCGCTCTCATAGGGGCGCTTATATGTCACGCCGCGTATCTATTAGCGCTCAAAGGGGATGAAGATGGCTTGTCTACTAAAATTTTAAGACATTGTCCCGGCCTTAAAAATGGTTTCGCCCCAAATTGATTGAACAAGTTATGTGCATCGGCACCTTCCGACTAAAGTATCACAAGCGCCATAGGGCGTTTCAAAATTTTCGCCGCCATTTTGTTTTTTCACAGAGAAATTTTTGGTTGAATCTGTTCGAAAAGTTCACAGAATTTTATCGGCGGCTCAAAGAAAATTTAGTAAGCTTTGTTGAACAAGTTCTCTGCAAAAAAATAAAATCCCTGGTAAAAATTGGCGATAAAAGCTGCGTTTCAAAATAACATAGGAATTCTTATAGCCGGCTAAAGAAGGCTACAGAAAATCATATAGCTGGCTGTAGAATGCGGAGAAAATCATACGGCCGGGCCATACAAAGCGATAAACAATTATGCAGCCGGGCTATAGTTCCTATCGCCGGGCTTTACAATTTATCGCCTGGCTGTTGCTTTTGCGCCATCGATTGTAAAAGGTTATAAGAAATTGTGTAGAAATTCGTGTGCTTTGGAAATCATTAAGTTTGATACGGAACCACCTCAATATTTACAAAACACACATTATATTTTCCTTTAATACATAATTTATTTCATCAATTAAAATGAGAATAATCCATACAGGATGTGCAAACATTTCAATATCATGAGTTGAATAACGCTGACTCCGCCAGATTAAATATTAGAGCCTACACTGGGAAAAAAAAACACATTGGATCTAGAGTCCAGACTCATAAAAGCATCGACAAGAAAAAATAATCTTGATTCAATCGGATTTAAGCTTAAATCAAGAACCGAGCCTCTTAATTTGAGCGGATTTCCTTTTGATTTAAGCTCAAATCTGATTGAATGAAGAGTATTTTTTCTTGTCAATGTTTTCAAGAGTCTGGACTCTAGATCCAATGTGTTTTTTTTCCAGTATAACACAAAGCGACGCACTGGCGCCTCCAAACCTAACAGGGATACTTCACGCATTGCGCAACGCGTGAAGTATTCCTGTTAGGTTTGTAGGCGCCAATGCGCGTTTCGCGCTGGCTGCCCGCCTGCTGCGCCGCGCCGCAGCGTGCCCGGCGCTTGAAGCAACTATTTCACACCAGAGGTATTGCACAGTATCATACGCAACTGAAGGTGCTCTAATATATTAGGAATGGCAGGCATCCATCAAAAGTACGGAGCCTTCCTAGCAATATAAATCAAGATACTACGGCCCAAAAAGAGAGCAGTAAACCAAAAAATTAACTGCCGCTCAACGCTCTGAAAACTGAAAAATCCTAAAACTCACTAAGTCCTAGAATCCGTAATTAGTAACGTTTAGCATACACTTTATCGCCTGGCTGTTGCTCAGTCGCCATCAGCTGTAAAAGGCTATAAGAAATTGTGTAGCCGGCTATAGAAGCTATTGGAAATCTTACAGCCGGCCGTAGGTCTATGGTATTTTGGAACACAGATTCTACTGCCAATTTTTACCAGGGATGGCGGAGGAAATTTTGAAACGTCGCATGGCGCTTATGATACTTTGGCCGGGAGGTGACGACATGCGGACAAGCTACCCTCGCTTCGGACCAAAATTAACAGAAACGAACCGAAGCGCAACAAGTTTGAAGTAGGAAATCGAGGTTTCAAGTTCTATTCCTCTATAGAACTCAACTTTAGGATAAAGTTAACGGCAGTTTTCACGTTCAAAATATTTTTTCTCGACTTCGTATTTTCGACAAGAGGACATTTACGACTGATTAAAGTGAAAACCACTACAACTTAATGTTTTTCAAAATGTGACTCGGTGAGTACCTGCCAGTCGCGGTTCTTTTCATTTTGACTTTAAAAATGAGGATTCGGGGTTCAGCATTCTGGCACTAAAATTTTGAGACTCGACTTCTTAAATAAAGCTGGAATGAATAATTCAGTATTTTGCATACACAATGGTTACACAATGACACTAATGGTGTTAAAGTTTTCAGGGAGGCACCTAGATCGACAAAATTAGGTATATTTTTAAGCTTATGTCATCGATGTGTGACAAAATCTTTGAGGGCAACTAGAACGGAAAGTTTTCCATGGGAAAATTTTCAGCAAGGTCATAACAACATGTGTACAACCAAAATCAGCCTTATTGCGTTTCTCGTTTTGTTGCACAAAAGTATTTACTTTTCACCATTCATTTTTTTCAAAATATGAGCTCTAAATTTTATAAAAATCAAATTTTGTTTGCAGGTTGATTTAGGAGAACTCCGTGTGTCTTTAGCATATCTTCCCGGAGCCGAAAGACTTAATGTGAATATAATAGAAGCTAGGAATTTAAGAGTAGTAGATCTAACTCGATCATCGTCCGGTAAGTTTGTGTTGTTCCACATATTTACAGCATCAATTGTTTGTGATGAAGTCGGGTTAAACGGCCGCTAAGGTCGGAAAAAAATTATATAACTCGATTGTAATTTGGAGAAGTTTTTGCATAATGTGGCGCATTGGCGCGAAGAGCGTCCAAAAATTGCGAATGTTGATTCTTCAGTACAAAATTTAAGCTTCAAGAAAAGAAACCGAGAATTCAAGCGACGCTACAGTGCTTAAAAACGATTCACTGTAAATAAATAAAGCAAATTATAGCTCAAAATGTAGACATGTTAAGTTAGAGAGAATTGGAGAGCTTTCAGCATGGAAAACTGAAAATCAAAATTACTGTCCTCAAATTAGTTTTTCGATTGCCTTGCATTATCTGAATTTTATTTCTACGGGTTTCTTTTGCTCGGCCAAGTCAAGAGAAGTGTTGAATTTACAGTATTTTAAAATTTAAAGGAACAAGATGCCTCTACAATCTCACTCTATCGTATAAAATCATAAGCGTGACGCGTAACGCTTAACGGTGCATTGGCGGATCCAGCAAACTGGCAACACTGTTTTTCTCTATTTAAACCTATGGAAATGTATCGATTCTTGGAGGGGCCAGGTGCCCCGACAAGAATCGATTATTTAACATAGGTTTAAATGGAGGGAGTCCGGTGTTGCCAAATTGCTGGATCCGCCCCCGAACGGTAGTCAGATAGGTTGCATCATCGAGAATCGATATTCATAATGGGTGTTAGTGGAGGAAGACAAAAACGCCATCTTTGGAAAATCACCTCTGGAGCTCTCTGATCGTCATTGAGACATGATTAGCTTTTTTGTAATTGAATCCGTCACTCGGTAAAGCAAAACTGTGAAGGACCTGATAAATCCTCCCATATTCCTTTGTGAAACACCACTCTCCGTCCTACTCCACGGTCTCGGAATCCCAGGATGCTTTAATAGAATGATTACGGCTCACCATACTTCCGTGCTAAGCAAGAACGCCGTATGAGCCACCAGGCGTTGCCAAATTTCCTTCTACAAATTGCGAATTTTCAGGGAAATTTGTGAATATTTCTCTTTCGATTTTTCAGAGGATTTCGTTCGTAATTTGGCCTAATAAGTCTGAAAATTTCAAGGAAACCTATTCATAACTTTTTTTTTAAAAAAACATTTTCAAAGAAGAAATTTGGCAACATTTGAATGCTCATACGGCGTTTTTACTTAGGACGGCAGGATAGGCTTCTCGTCTTGACACTGATGGATCATCGCTGGCTTGGAGCCTTCGAAAAAGTTTGCTCACTCTGTGAGCCGCGTTTTACGGTAAACTAATCGTCGCGGTTTGTCTGAGGCCAGTCGGCGGTTTTGTTTCAAAAGCTCCATATTGAGATGAAAATAAAAAGGCAAAAACCGAGTGAAAAGTTATTCATTCAAACAAATAAATTAATTAATGAACGAAAATGAAACGACTTTTTATCCTACCTATATCTAACAATGCCAGTAAATGGACATACAAAAGATCCACGGGATGACATGCATCCAAGACTGATATCGTTTGAGACTGACTTATTTCGTTTTTTCCAATTCTCTGCTTAGAATTTGTGTATATAAGTGTCACAGGCAATTGGAAATCATTAAATTAATGCATAAAAGGGCACTGATTATTTTGCCTCTAATGTGAATATACAATTTTCCTACGTAAGAACATGGTAGTAAACTGTAAAAGGCGCATTTAGGAAAGCGTATGGTGAAATCCGTGACCCTTGTTGGGTGTGGATCGGATAGGCAACCAAATTAACTCCGTGACAATGCGCAGAGTATCACAAAAATTGAAGGCGCTCCCAGCCGCGATCATTCGTTTAAAGTCATTCATTGCCCATGTAACTTTCGGCGAATATACAAGCAGTGGCTATCATATATCAATGATGGATTATCAAGAAATCATGGGGAAACTACATTCCATCTAACACAATTACTAACAGGGCATGGCTGTTTCAACTTCTATTTACACCGTATGAATATTTCAAAAACTGATGCCTGTCCTCATTGCCCATCGGCCACGGACACTCCCGAACATGCACTTTTCGCCTGCTCCTACTACACGCCAGAGCGATCGCGTCTGGAACACCAGATTGGCGACCTTTTTCTGACCTCAAACTTCCTGGAAAATATCTTAAGCTCAAAAGACAATTGTACGGCCACGTGTAATTATGTGAAGATCGTGATAGAAAGTAGAAAAAAGACCCTTGATGCTGATGCTATGCCTGATGGTGTTTCCAGCAGTCACTCAACAATGATTTAATGATTTAATGATTTAATTCAATCTTTCGTACCCCCCTTTCTTACCTGTTTTTAATTTTTATCTCTTTTGATGTAAATCTTTTAATTCTATTGTAACGTTGTTGAATGACAAATAAACAAAAAAAAAAAAAAATGATGGATTATCGACATTTCCCCATTTGAAGCTGTGGTACAGAATCGATTATTAAGGTGTTCGTCGCAAACACCCTGTTTATCGATCCTTTTCCATAGGTTTGAATGTAGCAGATCAATCGATATGTCACAAAGCACGCCACGTCACCGAAAAATATGTCGTTTCGGATTTTAATGCGAAATTGAAGAGTCACATTCTAGTTCTTGGAGGCATCTCCTCCCACGCAACAAAGAGAGGTCAACGATGTGAGACTACGAGGAGACAGAAAAAGCTGAAATTGAGAAAACTTTCGGAACTTCCTAACCTTTCCCTGCGAGCTGTCACTTCCTCACTTGAGGGATTTTTTGCCACTCAAGCTGAGAAGTTATTTTTGTCAAGAGAGAGGGCTAGAAACTTTCGAATTGCCGGCTAAAAAGAAAGCAATCGATTTGCAATTTGGTTTCCCGTTCAAAGTTGCTTAGAATAAGAAGTATCTCAATTTATCCTTCCGTGTAGGAGCTCATTTAACCACGCACCTAGTAAAATTTCACTTATATCAGTCAAGTTCAAGGCTACTCGGAACCGATGAAAAATTGGCCGAGCTTTTTCACAGTTTTGTAATGTACCTCATGTGTACATTTGTGAATCCAGAAGTTGGCAGCATTGTTTTTCCCCCCTTTAAACCCATGGAAATATATCGATTCTCGGAAGGCCAGTTGCTCTGACAGGAATCGATTATTCAACGCAGGTTTAAATAGAGTTTGTTAGTAAATTTGCCAGTGTTGCCAACTTGCTGGATCCGTCTCTGCATGCGTGCGCACGTGGTTAAGCACGAAATTGCTAGCTTTCGGTTTAGAACTTTGAAAAGGAAAAATGATGCAATATGCTTATTTGAGAAACGCTTCAGGTAAATGACATGGTAGTAAATGATATCGATATAAGTATAACGGTGCAATGCTGGAAAAATGCCAAAAATTTACCCTATAACGTAGGGATACGGATCTAGCAGTGCGTGAAATTAAATCAAAAGCTTCGAGCAAAAGGGTTATAATTACATTTTTTGTCTCAAAATAACTGCCCTCATTTTTCATGCAAATCGCAAATTTGGAGTCCATCTCGTATCTGGCGATGGTTATCATTTTACATCACACACAAGAAGCTTCTTCCATGTACAATGAGAGTGCGAAAAAATAGATTTTTTTCAAGGAGTGGACTTCATTTTGCAATTCAGAACTATGTAAAAACACTTATCTGCATAGGAACACTAGTGGCACATACGTTGTTTCTAAAGTGAGTTGGACATAGTATGTCTTAATAGCAAAATGTGGCCCAAATGTTAATGGATTAGATGTGCGGGTCACACAATCGTGTCTCGATGCTTCATTTCTGTAGATTACCTAAAAATAAGAAGATCTGTCCAAACAACATTTTTCCAAGCATCAAAACACGATTCTGTGACCAGCGCAACTGACCCAATGTGACCCTTGCTCTCCATGGTTTTAATATTTTAGGATTGTCC